CCACCAGGGAAGTCCCCGATCTTGATTATTTTAACCAGTTTCCCAAACCTTCATCATAATTTGCCCATGGCTCTCATTTTCCCTTCTCTGTCCATATCAAGCAACTTCAAATTCCTTGATCTTTTGATTTCCTTTGTGTTACTGGCTGTATTTTGTCTTGGATGATGTCTTTAAGGCCAGCTTTGGCACTGTGAACATTATTTCCTTCTTCAGATATGTGAGAGAGCAAGTTTACAACCAGGTCTGCCCAGTCTAGAATTAGGCACTTATCTTTAGGACTGAGGAAACCGTTCAAGCGAAACTTTAGCATCTAATTAAATTTTGGATAGTTAGGGATCAAGGAAGGAAAAGAATGACAGTTTCTAGGGGCTAGGGAAGTCATGCAGTATGTTCCTGGGGCCTGGGTCCAAGTGGGGAGGTTAGTTAAGGCACCACACAAATATTTTTTGCACCCCTGCTGCAGGCAAGGCCCTATTCTAAGACAGAAGATATAGCAGATAACAAGGAACACAAAGTCCAAACGCAAACTCTCTAGGACTTTATATTCCAGCAGAGGATGCATACTGTTAAGCAACGAAGCACAGACTTAATTATGCCATTCAGGTGGGCGTCTGCTCAGTTCCTGCAGAATTGTATACTCCTAACTTCCCATGTTTATTGTTCAGAAACATAACTGGCTATTAAATATTCACTGGTCTTTAGGGCTTAAAGGTATGTTTAAAAGAAATAAATAATTAAGCTATGATTTATAATCTTAGTCTTATCCATTCCTTTTACAGTGAGTTAAAAACCCTTTTCAACCTTTGGACGAACACCATATTATAATGTGAGATTTCTTGGTTCTCAGGGACTAGCTATAGGTCTATTAGGAAAAATTTCTTATTTCTTAGCAATGGATAATCTCAGCTCCTTGCTGATGTTTTTCAAGTTGTTTGCAGAGATGGCCTTAGGTTTTCTTTTTTGTTTGCTATGTACTGTACAAAGCCCTTGCTTTCAGTGGTAGAATTAAGTACGTAGGGAACAAGTCCTTGAATCTGTTTACTTATCCATTACCTGTGACGAAGAATGGTGTTGCCATGACCTCTCTCCCAGGTTGTAACTGTAGCTGTTGTGTGCACAGTGCTGAGATCGCAGATTAGCTCTGAGCCCCCGGGGGTGCCAGGGCAATGCAGAATAACTGATCGTGGCTGCGTGCAGAATTGTTCTGAAATGACACTCAGACCGGGGCTCATCAGAAAAGAAAACTATGATTGATAAGTGGAATCTGCTGTGGGCAAGGAAGGGCGAACGTGTACTGTATGAGCCAGGAATTTTCCATTCCATATATATTGACACCCTGGGAATGGCTTGACCTTGTGGCTTCAGGTTTAATCTTCCCCAGGTATGGGGATCATTTATTCTATTTTGAGTAGAATGTTTTAGACACCATTTAAATAATCTAGCTCTCCTCCCCATTCCTAATGAAGTTAAATTGATTTTCTTATTCTCCAATAGGAGCACATTCAGCCTGCTGTCATTGGTGGCTTATTCCTCTTAGCCCACATCTGAGAATAAAAACTGTTATTAAGTGGTGAAGATACAGTGGTAAACTATAGTCACACTGTCCTAAACTTAGGAAAGACACGTGTGCCTAATGCAGAACCGTTACACACACTCACACACACGCACGCACAGTTTAAAAAATCCCTTTATGCATTTTACTTTACCCTTTTCTGTATTTTTTTTCAATCTAGAATAGACTCCTGGGTGTTTTTCAATTTAGAGTAAAATTATTAGAGTACACTGTGTGTGTGTGTGTGTGTAGAATAGATTACAAGACAGATTGTATTTCTTGTGGGTCATGGTCAATACATTTTGAAAGTCACAATTCAGACCATACTCCTTTTATAATCCCAGAGCCTTAGGGGAGAGAATAGTTTCTTGCCACTTATGGACTGCACGTGTAGCATCAGTCTCAATCACACCAAATCCACGTGCTGCTTTACTTTGGTTGTTCAAGTAAAGCTTTGGAGGCATGAATTTGGGGCAGGAGTAGTAAGCAAGGTCCGCTTAAAATGCTTTCCACACATACGGAAGCACAACACGAAACCCTGAGCAGTTACCTTTATGAAGGCCCAGGCTGTCATGGCCCCCTTCTCCATGCTCTGACTGACCCCTGAACTAGTGAAATGGCCCTAGGTCCCATCCCAAGTGAAAACTGCTCTATGTCTGCTTAGCAAAAATTAAAGAACAAAGATGTATTATTCTGCCCGACCTGTGTCTGGGAGCGTGGTCCACCTCCAATTCCTCGGACAGCACACGAAACTTACTACATTTCATAGTCACTTGTGACTCCGACCAGGGTTTCCATAGCTGCAGCCATTTCCCAGCTGCCTGAAGAGTGATCACAGCTTATCTTCACTACTCAGTGACTTAGGCAGCCAGATGCCATTTTGGGGTGACCATCATTAGATTCATAAAAGCTATAAATCCGACCCATGAAGAGGAGAGACAGACCGCGGTCAAAAGGGCCAAGGAGCACAGGCCACTTTCCCGGCAGAGCCCAGCTTCCAGTTTCTCTTCTGGCTGCAAGTGGGAGGTCAGGGTCCAGACTGAACATGGGGGCAGCAAGAGGGGCTGCCTGGGAAGGCCCAGAAAGTTCACTGGGGGCCCCTTAGGTCCATCGTCAGACTCCTCATGTTAGTATAAAAGTAAGTGGTTCCTTGTTTAAATGATGTGGTGAGGAAGCACAAAAAGAGGATTCCCTGGTGGCACAGTGGTTGAGAGTCCGCCTGCCGATGCAGGGGACACGGGTTCGTGCCCCGGTCTGGGAAGATCCCACATGCTGCAGAGCGTCTGGGCCCGTGAGCCATGGCCGCTGGGCCTGCACGTCCGGAGCCTGTGCTCCGCAGCGGGGGAGGCCACAACAGTGAGAGGCCCGCGTACCGCAAAAAAGAAAAAAAAAAAAGAGGAAAATTGCACTTAGGTAGTTTTAAGGGCTAGAAAGGGGTCAAATACCTAGTTCTTCAGTAGCCTGGCAGGATTGGGAGAGGAGCCCTATACTTGAGGGGAAGGGCTTCCACGGGCCTCCAGTGGGTGGTCTGGGATGAATCTCAGTGCTTTTGTTCCCCCCTCACCTTCAGCAAACTATATTCTTCTTGTCAAGTATCTGCTTATTAACACTGGTAAAATTTTCAGGGTACATAGGGCACGACTCTTTTGCAGTAAAATCTTAAAACAGTGGACATATTTTCAGATTCCGTATGTTGTGAATACATTTTTAGTAATGAACAGGTAACAGCTGAGCCTGAAACTGTAAGTGAACCAGCGCTCAGTATCAGGTACTGGGAAGGCCCTTTCCCAGTGTCCTTCCTCTTTCTAGCTTCTTCTGGCGCAGGCGCTGGCTGAGGCAGTGGCTTGGAGGTCTTATGTTGTATTTTCCCGTTGGAGGTTCTGAGTTAAATGGGCCAGCTTAGGAGCTAGTGCTTGACTGAGCTTTCTTCTAGCTATTTTTTTAAATTTATTTTATTTAAATTGAAGTATAGTTTATTTACAATGTTTCAGGTGTACAGCAAAGTGATCCAATTATATATATGTATCTATTCTTTTCCAGATTCTTTTCCATTATAGGTTATTACAAGATATTGAATATAGTTCCCTGTGCTATACAGTGGGTCCTTGTTGTTTACCTATTTTATATGTAGTAGTGTGCATCTGTTAACCCCAAATTCCCAATTTATCTCTCCCCCACCCCTTCCCCTTTGGTAACATAAGTTTGTCTCTAGCTCCTGCCTTCTTTACAGTTGTCTCTGCTGTGGGTGGGAGGAGACAGTAGGGAGACAGAAGCTCTGGGCTCTGCATCTGTGCTAAGAGGCAGAAGGGCCTAGAACCGGGCCTTCCACTGTAGTACTGACTGTACGATGTGTGACTCTCAGCTGTGCTCTGAGCCCTTCCCTTACTCTTCCCCAGGGTTCTTCCTCCACCAGTTTTCTTCACTTTCTCTACCACGGAAGTGCCTTCCCTCTGTTGGCTCTTTTTTCTCCAGCATGTAACAATCTTTGAAAGCAATCTACCTGTCCTTTCTTTCTAAGTCCGACAAGGTAAACAGGTGCTACCTATAATCCCTATTTTATAGATGGGGCAATGGGTCCAGAGAGATTAAGTGTAAACATGTGGCACATGTGCTCTAGAAAGTAACTTCCATGGAGGTTAGAGAAAGTGTTGACAACAACACTGGGTTGCCTCCCCAAAATCAGAGGCGTGAACAACTATACCTATTAATCATCTTTTGAGCAAATTTTTTTTTTTGTACAGAAACACTGATTAGGAAAGACTGGTCATTATAAACTACAGGTGAGAAAATGGATTGTTTTCTTAAAAACTGACCACAGGCACATGGATAACTAAATATTTTTATTTGACATCTGGATTCAATTTCACATATATTTGCATAAATTATGAATAATTATCTCTAATGATTGACTATGCACAACTGCATGCTAGTTCACCTGATCCCACTTTCACTCTCCACTTACAAGGCAACCGTCACTGTTGTAGCACCAGAAAGAAGAGAGCTGCTGGTCCCTTTCCTTACGGCAACACCGGCTTTGCGCTATGTAAAGCTGCTGGGCAGGTTCTACCTGTTTTAAATTTTAATAATCAGGCCAATCATTTTTAAATTTATTATGAAAAAATACCAGAAACCATTAAGGCCAGAATAAAATGCAGTTCTAGCATCCCAAGCTAGAAGGAATTATTTTTTCAGTGAAAGGGAATACATATAATACAGAAAGAGCTAATATTATTAGACAGAAGTAGCCTTTGGTGTTAAGCAATTATGAACAGGAGGAGGGTTATGTGCTGGACAGCACGGAGCCTCAACAGAGCCTTCTCAGATTCAAACCTAAAAACAGTTTTCTAGGGCTTCCCTGGTGGCGCAGTGGTTGGGAGTCCGCCTGCCGATGCGGGGGAACGCGCGTTCGTGCCCCGGTCTGGGAGGATCCCACATGCCGCGGAGCAGCTGGGCCCGTGAGCCATGGCCGCTGAGCCTGCGCGTCCGGAGCCTGTGCTCCGCAACGGGAGAGGCCACAACAGTGAGAGGCCCGCGTACCGCAAAAATAAAAGCCAACAGTTTTCTAGGATACATGGAATGATTAATAACATAAGAATGATCAGTCCTGAATTTTAGAGTGGAATAATCCACATTAGTTTTCCAACTGAGTGTAATTTACTTTCTTAAGAAATAATGATTTCCCCCCGTCACTGTACAATTGAGATCTGTCATTCATAATGTTTATGAATATAACATATTTAAACATATTTAAAACTAGCAGGCTTCTCAGGGACAGGTTTAGATTCCTGCCAACCAAGGTGAACTGTTCTTGTGGAGCATGAAGTTGTTGGCAAATGAGGTCAGAGGCACAGCTGTGGAGGTCAGTCATGGGTGTTTTTGATGGCCATGGTCCAGAGGAGGGGATGGTCTGTTTCCACAGTCACAACACCAGATCCATCGTAGGTATTGGAAGTGCTGACCAGTGTTCCGAAACTAATCCTATGATTTGCTGTAAGAAAATAAGAAAACAAGTTTGGTGAGAGCCAAGCTCCCTCCAGTGGAGAATGGCTTTGTCAAGAGTTACCAAAAAGCAATTAAGCACACACTTTGATAGATGATCTGTAAAATGCGGGATAGGTTAACTTAATACCTGCCCTGCAAACAGACTCTACCTTTTTTTTCTCCTGTGCTTATACAGTTAGGCCCCCACCAGCCATCTGCTTCATACCGAGGAGTGTACGTATGTCAATCCCAATCTCTGGCGGGGAATGGGGAGTTAGTGTTTAATGGGGGCAGTGTTTCAGTTTAGGAGAAAAATTCAGTAGCTGGATGATGGTGAGAGTTGCACAACAGTATGAATGTACTTAGAGCCACTGAACTGTACAGTTAAATATGGTTAAAACAGTATGTTTTATGTGACTCTTACCACAATAAAAATTTTTTTTTAAAATGTGGGATAGGTGAAATGTATGATATGAGATTCTAAACCTGAAAGTTTCTATAGCTTGTTATAACCAGTCTTCCTGGAGTTGGTTATTGGTTATTTACCAGTTTGGGATATATGTCACTCTCAATACTAAATTTCATGAAATTTTTTTTTTTTCCTTTACCAGTTGTAAAACCAAAACCCATTTCTGCAATAGGTTACTTCCTTGCCTGGGTGCAATTTTAATTTTTCTTGATGATTCCGAATTACCTTTTTTTTTTTTTTTTTTTTTGCGGTCCTGGGGCCTCTCACTGTTGTGGCCTCTCCTGTTGCGGAGCACAGGCTCCGGACACGCAGGCTCAGCGGCCATGGCTCACAGGCCCAGCCGCTTTGCGGCATGTGGGATCCTCCCGGATCGGGGCACGAACCCGTGTCCCCTGCATCGGCAGGCGGACTCTCAACCATTGTGCCACCAGGGAAGCCCCAGAATTAACATTTTTATATTTGACTAAGCTCTATAAAAATACAGTTTTAGTTTTAATTATAAATGATATGGGGCAGAAAGCTAATTACTTAAAAATAAAAAGCATGGGATTTTGGTCATTTTTTCTCATAAAGAAAAGCCAAAGTGAACAAGGCTTGCCTTCTGTAAAATTAATCAGAACTGGGAGGTCAAAAAGCAGACTTCCAAATGTGTAATCTTGAGCGTGCCACTTAAACTCAGCATACAATGAGGGCACAAGATGAGATAATCCTTTAAATTACTTAATTATGAAAATAAAGGCTTTGGAGTTAAGGTATATTATTAGAATTTATATATTTATAAATTACAAATTTATAAATTACATAATTACATATAAATTACATTTATATATATATATATTTCCTATCAAGTTCGTTGAAGTTAATACCTGGGCACCCATTGATAACCTCACTTCCCTTTGCTTATAAAAGAGCAGTTCACGGTATCAACATGACTTGAAACCATGACTGTCCTGCAAACATTCCTTGATAATCAGTACCGATTTCTTCGCTAAGAAATTAGAAAGAGAAAAGTAAACAAATGTTATGGAGAGAAATAAACAAATGTCAGAGTCAGAAAAGGCCCCTTTTCCTTCAAACAAAGTTCAACTATGAAGTTACACAGCTTTGGAGTAAATAATTCAATTATAATGGTCACTTCCCGCTAGAGGGAGCCTGTTATCTTTCTGAGGAAATCTTGAAAAGGCAATTTAAAAATTCAGAAGTAGTATTATAGGATAATATAACATCAGTAATTCACACAGTTTACTTATTAAAACTCAAACTATTTCTTTACTAATTACTAACGTGATTAGTAAACTGTCAACACGTTTACTAATGCAAACATGAAGTTATAAAGTAAAACTACAGGAATACAAGAGTGAACCTCGTGTGACTGTTGCCCTAACAGGTAACTCAGTGCAAGAAGCTTTCGCCTCTCAGTAATCTGGAGCTTTTCTGAGATGATGTTTCTGAATGATATTTATGATAAGCACATAAATTTACAAATCCAGACACTATTACATAGATAGTGAGTCTGTCAAGGAAAGAAGCCTTGCTCTCCTGAAGGGTGACCGTGCCTGGAATCCGGGTGCACCAGATCCCTACTGACATCCATCCCAGGCCCAGGGTTCCCAACAGCCCTCTGAGGAAGGGCTGGGGAACAGTTTACACATTTCATACCATTTATTCAGAAGGGCAATTTAGGGTGCTTCAGTGGACCAGCTTTACAGTGGAAACCCCCCAGGGAAGCACCAGGTGCACACAGCCCACCTGAACGTGAAACAGTGCGTTTAAGATTCTGGCAACTAATTAAGTTAAAATCCTGTTTTTTACCTGGGCTCAAAGGACATGAGTGCAAAATTATTTCTCTAGTTTGTAGTTGCATGTAAATTCCTTTCTGATTTTCTGAAGGTAGACTATGGATTTTGGATTATCCTAGGTAGACAACTATATTATATATATTGGCTTTTCTAAGACATTGTTGCGTCCTAATTAATTCTTAAATGGGAAAAGAAGTGAAATAGCTTTATTAGGGTATGAGAAGGTACAGTTTTTACTTTGCATGAAATATATAAGGCCATTATTATCCAGGCTTATAAATCATGTTTTCTTTGTATTTTGTAATGTTAAAAGAACCAGTTATTAAACATTTCTTAGTTGGCTTTGGGCTGCTGTAACAAAATGCCATAGGCTGGGTTGCTTAAATAGCAGACATTATTGCTCACAGTTCAGGAGCTTGGGAAGTCCTAGATCACGGTGCCAACATGGTTGAGTTCTGGTAAGAACTGTCTTCTTGGCTGGTTTTCAGACAGCTGCCTTCTTGCTGTATCCTCATATGGTGGAGAGATCTCCTGCCTCTTCCTCTTTTTATAAGGGCACTAATCCATCATGAGGGTCCCACCCTCATGACCTAATCCAACCCTAATTATCTCCCAAAGGCCCCACCTCCAAATACCATCACATTGGGGGTTATGGCTTCAATATGTGAATTTGGGGGGACTCAAATACTCAGTCCATAACAATAGTTACAATTAATTAAAGGTTACAGTGAAATTGATTTGATTAGCTCCAAGTTTATGGAAAGTAGAATAAAAATGATAGAAAAAAAATGAATAAACTGAAACACAAAATCATGAAATTCTATTGACTATGTCACTACAATTATTTTGGAGTATGTTTTCTCCAAAGAATCATGCTTTTGGACAAAACTTTCAAAAGTCTTCCTTAGAAGAAAATCTTTTTTTTTTTTTAAAGAAAATATTTGGAATTAATACTGAACTCCCCTCTCCCCAGATGTCTGAGGGTCAATCATGAAATAAAATACATAAGACTGAGAGATAACTTCCTGCAGATAGCCATACAACAATTACTTCCTTTTATTATTTTTTCTTCCAGTTTTATTGAGAGATAATTGACATATAATAACACTGTATAAACTTAAGGTATATAGCAAAATGACTTGACATATGTATATATTGTGAAATGATTACCAAAATAAGTTTAGTTAACATCCATCACCTTATATAATTACATTTTTTTTTCCTTGTGAGAACTTTGGTGTCTACTCTCTTACCAACTTTCAAATATACAATACAGCCTTGGCAATGCTTGTCATGTTGAACATTACACAGCCAGTACTTAAATTTATCTTAAAACTGGAAGTCGATATCTTTTGACCCCCTTCACCTCATTCTCTCCACCCTCTGCCTCTGGTAACCACAAATCTGATCCTTTTTGCTATAAATTTGAGTTTTTTAGCTACCACATATAAGTGAGATGGTACAGTATGTGTCTTTCTCTGTGTGACATTTCATTTAGCATAATGCCCTCAAGGTCCATTCATATTGTTGCAAATAGCAGGGTTTCCTGTTTATGGCTGAACAGTATTCCACTGTATATACACCACATCTTTATCTATTCATCTGTCAGTGGAAACTTAGGTTGTTTCCATGTCTTGGCTATTGTAAGTAATGCTGTAATGAACATGAACATGGGAGTGCAGTTATCTTTTTGACATAGTGATTTTGTTTCCTTTGGATATATACCCAGAAGTAGGATTGCTGGTAATATGGTAGTTTTATGTTTAATTTTTTTGAGAAACCTCCATACTGTTTTCCATAGTGGCTGTACCAATTTACATTCCCACCAACAGTGCACAAAGGTTCCCTTCTCTCCATATCCTCTCCAGAACTTGTTCTCTTGTCTTTTTGATGACAGCCAATCTAATAGGTATGAGGTCATAACTTATTGTGGTTTTGATTTGATTTCCCTGACTAGTGTTGTTATCTACCCTTTTCATGTACCTATTGGCCATCTGTATGTCTTCTTGGAAAAATGTCTATTCAGATCCTTTGGCCATTTTTAACTTATTTTTTTTTCTTTTGAGTTGTGTGAGTTCTTTATATATTTTGAATATTAACCCCTTCTCAGATATGATTTGCAAATATCTTATCCCATTGCTTAGGTTGTCTTTTCATTTTGCTATCGTTTCTTTTGCTGTGCAGAAGCTTTTTAGTTTGGTGTAGTCCTACTTGTTTATTTTTTATTTTGTTGCTTGTGCTTTAGTCTTTTGTGCTTTGGTCTTTTGCCAAGACCCATGTCAAGAAGCTTTATTCCTGTGTTTTCTTCCAGTTTTATGGTTTCAGGTCTTATGTTTAATTTCTTAATCCATTTTGAGTTAATTTTTGGGAGTGATGTAAAATAGGGATCTAGTTTTACTCTTTTACATGTGACTATCCAATTTCCCAGCACCATTTATTAAAAGGGCTGTCTTTTCTCCATCAAGTATTCTTGGCTCTCTTTTCATGTTAGCTCACTGTATGTGTTGGTTCTCAATTTCTGGGTTCTCAATTCTGTCGTATTGGTTTATGTGTCTGTTTTTATGCCAGTACCGTAATGCTTTTATTATTATATCTTTATAATATAGTTTGAATTCAGGAAGTGTGATGCCTCCAGCTTTGTTGTTCTTTCTCAGGATTGCTTTGGCTGTTCAGGGTCTTTTGTAGTTTCATATGAATTTTAGGATTTCTCTTTCTTCTGTAAAAAGTGCCATTGGAATC